TCATGTAGTGCAGGCCATCGAAAGTGTAAAAATACGAAACGAAATATAGATCTGTATTGTAATCAGATTCCAATAACACGACGGTTTGTAAAGATTTGTGATACGCGGAGGATTGTTTACATAAAGATAGGAATAAGAGAATATGAAATATGGCATGTGACGACCGAATTATTTTGATTGAAGAAGTGATTTATCTTCTGGGTAAGACATTCCATTCCACGTTTCCTTGTTTGGTTTTGACGGACTTTAAGGGACTGCGGAGGCTGACTAGGTTCGGCAGCAGTTGGGTGATTATGGAGTGCTGAGAAATACCAAACTGGTTCAAAGAGGAGTCTGCTTTGTCCTACTGGAGGTGGACACGTGTCTACAAAATGACGTGCATGTACGGGATAGCCAAACCTCCTTATCTACAACCGCTACCGCCATCCTCGTGTCAAGTTATCATGACATTGCCAAATGAATAAACGAATAAACAAAATAATACTTGCGTTTACGGCTAGAAGTCGGGGGCCTGTTTCACGAAATTTTAACTAAGATAAAATCCAAATTTTAGTAATTTGATTGGATAATATTAGATTGATTTTAGTGCTTAGCCAATCAAAAGTGAGGTATCTACTAAAATTTGGATTTTATCTTTAGTTAAGATTTCGAGAAACAGGGCCCTGCTTATTAAGTTCAATATTTGCATTCCGTAAGTCAGTGAGTAAAACGTTGGCTCGCTAACCTTGGGATTCCGTGCTCGATCTGCGAATTGGCCGCGAAAGTTCATCAGGATTTTCCGACATGGTTCCGCCTTGTCAGTGGTGTAGGACAAGGAACACGGGACAATTATCGCGTGGATGGGACGAAAAACCGAGGTCCCGTGTACACATTGGCGTACACGTAAAAGATCCCTTGGCAGTTGAAATTCGATATAAGAGTAGGTCATAGTGCCGCTACCCGGGCAAAATTTCCTTCATAGCACACTGAATAGCTTATGCCCGTCTTCCTTACCCCGGTCGGATCAGAACAGTATGACGTTAAACCCCATTTCATTTCATTTTCATTTCACAAATCAACTCAAAGTGAGATTTTCATCAATAATTTATCTCAAGTAAATTCACAATCCAACCAGACAGAGAAATAAAAAACAATCTAAAATAACATATGATATACAAACAACGTGACAAACAAACGACTAATGTGTAAATACCATTTTAGCAAAAATAATAGATTTTGAAATAGCCCAGTGAATTCAATGAATAACTGCGCTGAGAAGAGTAAGCATATTTATATAACTATTCCTAGGAAACACAACATTCGACATAAAAAAGGTGTTTTCGTTAAGTTTTCAGCAGTAATTAATGATTGGTGGGTTATGTTAAAAATGGGGGTCTTAAACGACAGGTACGTGACTATCCAACACAAGACGTTAAGCATTCAGGCACGTGACTGCCCATGACACTTCATATACAGGTCTTAAACGACAGGTCAGTACACGGCGCGTGACTGTCCAGAACAAGACGGGTAAGCATTCAGGCACATGACTGGTCAATACATCACATGTCACGATACAGGCACTCGAATGAACGCAGTACATGATGGGTAGGCATTCAGGCACATGACTGGACAGTACAAGACACCATATACAGACACGTGACCGTAGAGTTCACGACACGTCACCATACAGGCACTTGAATAGACAACACAATGACGACAGGTCAGTACACGGATACATGACATCAATTTATGTAGAAATTAAGATATTCCAGATTCTTGATATATTGTAGAATAAACCGATGTACAAATCGTTTCGTCTTTAATTAACTGTGACGTCATGAAAGTAACTTTCACCCCACGTGCGTACAGAGTACACACGAAGCATAGCTATTGCGCCGGCACACGTTTTTGTTTACAAACATTGACTGACAGTTACCTGATGACGTTAAATTAAAGGCTAAATAAACTCCACGGGTTCTCCATGGTGCATATTATTTTAGTGTTTGATAGTGAATGAAACACACGGACGCACGTTTTTGTTTACACACATTGACTGACAGTTACCTGATGACGCCAAATTAAAGGCAAAATAAATTCCACGTGTTCTCCATGATGCATACTAGGAATGGCTTCTCTTTTAACGTTAATAGTTTTTTTAACAGTCAGAATTAATTTAATACTTTAAGTTTTAGAATATTAAACTGTGTATGTTATTAATTTCAGCAAAAGATGTAACAGATTAATTTTTAAATCTATGTATGAATATATAAAAAAAACTATATCGAAACACGCGTGCAAACATATTAAAATATAATATCCGTGGTTTCAACAGTTGGTGATTTATTATAGTGTCTACATCCCACTCGGCAAACCTCAGCAGATTCCAGTACCCTACATCTAGCCTTAGCTGTATGACGAAGTCTGCCATTGGAACTACTTTCAAGTTCCCGGATTACCAACTGTGTTGCCCATGACGACGCCTTTGAAGAATGTTTTATCATACAAAGATTTCAAAGTCTGAAGCTGTTTTTCTCTCAAGTTTATCTGATTTTCTTTAGACAAGGACAGGTTTGCACTGAAAATTCTACACACTCTTCGAATGACGCAATTGTGAGAACTTTTTTCTAAAAGCGGCAGGTTTTCCTAATAAGTAAACCGGTGCCGCATCGCAATTGAATAGGCGTAGGTACATATCACTTACCGTCATACAGCCGAGCCTAGATGTAGGATACCGGAATATGCCGAGGCTTGCCAAGTGGTCTACATCCGCCCCACCCCGCCTCCCTTTTAAACAAAATATAAATGATAATAATAAACATTAAAAATTTACATTAGTTTCACCCAAAAATATACCTATTAAGTTTTCTAATGTTATTTAACTCAATACGAAATGATATTTTCAGAAAATCTCAAATGTCTAAGGTAAAAACCTACATTTTTGTATTTTAATCAATTTTTTGTGTTTTTTGAAAGCGACTATATCTTTATCTGATATAATTATTGTTTATTAATTCAATAAATATCTGATTAATCTTGGCACAGTTTGGTTTCTCACATTGTGCATTTTATTATAGCATGTTTTATTAAAAAATAAATATCTAATATAATCAGGACTTTTCCAATAATTCTCTTACAAAGATGGCTATTCGTGGATCGTGGAGATTTATTTATAAATATCGTACAACTCTATATATAGTTGACTCCCTACCGGAAGTTCATTTATAGTCATTTGTGAATACCACAGTTTACGTAAAACAAAATAGACTAATGGTAGCTTAAGGCTTTTTTATCGACTTGCCAAATCGATTTGAATTTAGTGGAGATGTCATGTGACAATATAGTCGATTTCAAAGTACTTTGGCGAGTTCGTTAAATGCGCCGATTAGCTGTAAACAATTGTTGTGGCTGGACACAGTTGAAAAAAACACGTGATCACCTGATCAAATCGTCAAATCGCACCCTGAAGTGATTTGGCGATTTGATCTAATCGCTTCGGAAATCGGTGTCGATAAATTTGTTGATTAGGGTAACCAATTTGAATTAGATGGACGTTAAAGATGAAAATCTGATTGAATGCAAATCACTTTGGCTAATCAGTGGTGGATAAAAACGCCTTTAGTATTTGACTCGACCTTACCGGAAGTTATACCGTGGCCATTTTAATCATCTAGTAATACGACAGCTCGGGGTAACCATCTTTGTAATTGAACCATGGAAAAGATCAAGATGATAAAATGAAAACCTATTAAACACCCCAAGCTTGTCTCATCATCAGATCGAAATACATTTCGTTATCAATACTACAACTTAAAGCGGCATAATACGCCATGAATTCCTCTTTTGTCACCTGAAATGGAAGAGATATTAATATTAAAGTTACAATTATATATTTTCTAAGAAAGTCAAAACATAATTATTTCTATGTCTTTTGCTCAATAGCTTGTAAACTCACTATTATACGATCATAGGTTATCTTTCTCACACTTAAAATCTTCACACCGGAAATAATAACACAATTACCTCCCAATTACCCCCTTGTTTTCCTATTCCCCACCATGGAATAGCTACCTTCAAACGTTTGAATTTGAAGTTGAAAATGATATTTTTGCCAATTTCTCAACTGTAAACTGGCTATAGTGACTTATAGGATTAATAGGATTATTCTTTAACAAGGTAGGACTGTTTATAGATACCATCTATTTTTGGGCTTTATTTTAATACATTTTAAAAATATAACTTAAAAATATGAAATTGTAACTTTAACATACATAACACTATGTTTCAATGGTTTAGTTATGCGAATTCGTCAAATAAGAAACCAGTGACCTCGGTGCTGGTGCTGGTAGAGAAAATTCCTCGGGATTTTAGAACTTGGTTCCCCCTTGTTAGTGGTGCAGGGCGGAGTGGTGTCCCCTTGTCAGTGGTCTGGCCATGTAGGTCCTGTGTACACATTGGCGTGCACTTAAAAAATCCCTGGCAGTTGTAATTCAAAAGGTCGAGAGACTGTTTATCCACCACAATAACCCTAACATTTTAATTTTTATCAGAATTTATTCGTGTCTAGTTCCACTCGATATCGCTCCATTTTTACAGATTTAACATCACATTTTGAAATTTGAGCATGTATTATATCTATCTTGCATTTCTAGTTCTTGAGTGAGATGAAGTCGGTTGCTTCAGAGACCAAAAATGACAGAACTAGACACATGTTTTAGACCACATTTCGTTCTTAAGATTTAAGGGGGATTGGATAGACGAGTGGCTGTTATAAAGTCTGTCATTGAGTCAACTGGTGTGGTTTCGATTCCCCGGTTATACGTTACAAGGAGTTGGGTAGCCTGTCCAACCTCGTGGGTTTTCACCGGGTCCTCCCGTTTCCTCCCACTGCTAAAGACCCCTACGGGCAAGCGAATTATTGAAATAAAATTCAACCATATGTTAGTCCCGAAATGACCTAGCTTGTGTCGAGTGGACGTTAAACCCCATTTCTCTCTCTCTTTCTTAAGATTTACTTGCCTTTCCATCAGGATTATTTCCATCAAAAGAATTCAGAAATTCTGCGACGCACTTTTGTTTATTCATGTCGCCGTTTACGTATTTGGGATGTTTGGAAAAATCGTAGGTCTTCTCTATATCATCGATATTAATAACTCCATCACCAGTACTGTCCATTGTTTTAAAAGCGGCTTCAACAAGTTCTTTTCGATGTGCTGACATCCCAGGCTAAAATAAAAGTATTTAAACATTAACGCTAAGTTCGTCATAAAGAATACAAGTCTACTTTTCGAGGCCACATAAGCAGGAGCATAAAGTACTGCAAATTCCCATGTAATACCATAAAGTACTACAATTGCCTGACAAAAAGTAATGCACTTAAACGTAATGCAATACCCCCTAATGATATAACGTAATGTATTCCCTCTAATATAATGCAATTCCCTCTAATGCCATAACGTATTGCAATTCCCTCTAATATAATGCAATTCCCTCTAATATAATGCAATTCCCTCTAATATAATGCAATTCCCTCTAATGACATAAAGTATTGCTATTCCCTCAAATACAATGCAATTCACTCTAATGACATAACGTATTGCAATTCTAATATAATGCAATTCCCTCTAATGACATAACGTATTGCAATTCCCTCTAATGACATAACATAATGCAATTCTCAAGCAGTTTTCTTCAAGTTGACATAAAGTTCATGTCATATTATAATAATAATAATAATATATTGCATTTAATAATGCGCCACATCCACCCAAGTGGTTTCCTTTTTCTTTTCTATGAACCTTACTTGATCTCGTGGGGTGGCTGGGCGATATTTGTGAGGAGGATTGAACATTACCTGCATCATCAGAAGAAATTCTGTAATATTAATCTGTCCACTGCCATCTTTATCAAACTTACTAAACACGTCCTTCAATTCATCCTTTGTCAGATTATTAATACCCAAATTCTGTATCCCTTCTGTAAATTCCTCGGCTGATAACTTCTTATTATCATCGTCATCCATAATCCTCAACCACCTAGAGTAAGCCAGAAACACAGCTATTTTAAAACAGAATCACTCTGCATAAGGCCTCGGACTAACTGGTATCCTTGGGCCCCCATTGCGATGAAGAGTGTGTGGCATGACCAGAAAAGGAAACTAGTTCCATCCTCATCGATGCAAACATGGGTTATTTTATTATGAAAAAAATATGTCCATTTTTTTTTTCAATGGGGACTCTTGGCTATGACTCATCTAGGCATTCGGACCAACTTCGACTGGTTGATCTGAGGCCCAACCCGTCCCAGATTCGCGGGACAATCGGTCGCTAACGTTAAGGTCTGTTCACTTCTATTGCTCTCTTTGCAAATGTTACTTCGATGACTTGTTGGTTTGTATTCGATATTTTATGATTAAGCCTGTCATTGAGTCAACTGGCGTGGTTTCGAATCCCCGGTTGTACGTGACAAGGAGTAGGGTCGCCTGTCCAACCTCTTGGGTTTTCTCCGGGTCCTCCGGTTTCCTCCCACTGCTAAAGACCCCTACGCGCAAGCGAATTATTGAAATAAATTAAACCATATGTTAGTCCCGAAATGACCTAGTTTGTGTCGAGTGGGCGTTAAACCCCATTTCTCTCTCGCTCTCTCGATATTTTATAAGACTATTAATAAGACTAGCAGAGCAAGAATATTAAAGAATGAAGTAGTTCCCAGTGCTTAGATTGTACATTACCTTGTTAGGTTTTTTATGCCTTTTCCACCTCTAGACAAAAACGCCAGCTTTAATTTTCTAACCGGATCAGTCTCTGCCAACATGGCTTTTTTAGCCTTTGCTTTCATCTCATCCTCCAGTTTCGATGGCTCGGCCATTTTATATTATCTTATGGTTGAAAGTAAGTAAACTGTAAAATAAAAAGCAAACAAAACAAACAATTAAATATGTATTAAGCAAGGACTAAATCTGCCTAGTGCAGGTCTTTTCTTGGGCCTGAAATGATATCTAAATTAGTTATTAATAAACATGTCAAGACCACAATCAACTATCGATGGCATCGGATACTTGAGATTTTAACTAGATTTAAACGGCTAAGTCTCGAATATACCAGTGCCCTGGTTACCACTGTGCACACATCTTGTCAAAACTACAAACAATGATAACGTGGCTGAGAATGAAATAATTTGACTGAAATTTTCAATATTTTATTTTTTTTATCATTTATTTTTGAATTATTATAGCAAGAATGGCCAACTCTTTATTAAACTCTTAACTAAAGTATCTTTAATCCCCACATACGTGGGGGAGGGGGGTGGATGGCCGAATGGTTAGCACGCGCGCATAGATCATGAGGCCTGTCATTGAGTCAACTGGCGTGGTTTCGAATCCCCTGTCTGGGTCCTCCGGTTTCCTCCGACTGCTAAAGACCCTACGCGCACGCGAATTATTGAAATAAAATTAAACCATATGTTAGTCCCGAAATGACCTAGTCTGTGTCGAGTGGACGTTAAACCCATTTCTCTCTCTCTCTCTCTCTCTCTCTCTCTCTCCACATACGTTTTCATTTGTTTCTGTTTCAGTTAGATATCTTCTATGGAAAATAAAATCAAGCACAGTGGTAAAGATGGCAGTGGTTATAGTTTAAAGACATGACAAGTGAGGGAAATCCAGAAAGGGAAAGTGGTACCAAGTGTTCGTGGAAGGCTAAGCATATCCAGCCTCGTCCACAACAAATGTCACTGTCGTCGTGCTGTATGAAAGCATATCCAGCCTCGTCCACAACAAATGTCACTGTCGCCGAGCTGTATGAAACGGTTATGTCTAAATATTAAGGCCACCTGCAGATTTCGTCAAGGTCACCAGATGTAACAGCTCTTGCGCTAACCCTAACCCACAATCCTCGGCAACAATTACGTGCCCTATCCCTGTTTACATCTAGTGACCTTGGCGAAATCTACAGGTGGCCTTAGTATTTAGATCTGGCGGTATCGAACGCCGATATGATACAATAGAAACATTTGTTTGGCCAAAATCGATTTGTAATAAGATACAAGGCACAGACATGATATATCGATTTAAAATATCGCGAGGGCGGCCCTAACTCTAGATGGTAAGAACCCCAATCCTATTAAAATACAAATCTATATTTCGTTTCGGTTTTTTTAATGCTTTCGAAGGCCTCTATATACAATATATACATAGATCCTATTTCGTTTCGTTTAAAATTTCGTTTTACTTGTGTTTACTACACTAGGGTCTGGAAGAGTTGTTATATAACTTGCGATCTGGTTGATGTGAGGGATTAGTCAATGAAATGATCTATTCAGTCGAGAACTTTGGGCAGACATTCGTGACGATGGAAAAACATATCAAAGCAAAAGTTGTATTTCCGAATAGCCACTTGAAACGCCGATTTACGTCATGGGGTCAAAAGCACCCCAGTATAAACGGTCAGATCTTCATGTAGTATATTTTACCAATCTGATTAAAATACAGATCTATATTTCGTTTCGTTTTTTTTATACTTTCGATGGCCTACGCGTATGCATCGGGGTTCATGTCAATCAGATTAAAACACAGATCCTATTTCGTTTTGTTTTTTATAGTTCAAAATTTCGTTTTACTGGTCTTACTACACTAGGATCTGGAAGAGTTGTTATCATTGACGTGTTCTAAATGATGTGAGCGAATAGCCAATGAAACGGTCCGTTACGTCCAGCTTTATATATAAGGTGTGTTTTGCACGGAACTGTGGGTAATCCAGTAGTAACATCAATGCTGATTGGTTAATCAAATGTTTGGCGTCATAGGGTCAAAGCCGCTCGTATAACCTCTGACGCGACCCATCGCTACAACTGGTCAGATTTTCATGTAGTGTAGGCCATCGAAAGTATAAAAAAAACGAAACGAAATATAGATCTGTATTTTAATCAGAATGGGGTTCGTCACGCAAACATCATTCGTGTTTAAATACTTTCATTCCAGTCTGGGATGTCAGCACATCGAAAGGGGCTTGTTGAGGCAGCTTTTAAAACAATGGACAGTACTGGTGATGGAGTTATTAATATCGATGATATAGAGAAGACCTACGATTTTTCCAAACATCCCAAATACGTAAACGGCGACATGAATAAACAAAAGTGCGTCGCAGAATTTCTGAATTCTTTTGATCGCAATAATCCTGGTAGAAAGGCAAGTAAATCTTAAGTGGTCCAGTCTTCATTATTTTTGATACAATTACTTAATTCAATACAAACTGTAATGGTATGTTTGACAATTGTGCGTTTGAACCTTTTTAAACTTGCGTAAGGAGTTTTAGACTGTATCAATTGTAGCGTTAAACACAGTTTAACGATACATTTAATTGTAGCTAAGAGAGAGAGAGAGAGAGAGAGAGAGAGAGAGAGTTAAATAACTAAGTGGAATCTGCAGTCAACTAGGTTTTGTTATATCAGTAACCAATTATAATAGAACTTGTCATTTGGTGATGCCAAGCCCATGTTCCATTGTATCCCATTATAAGATGAAGATAATAGTTGCCATGGATGTATATAAGTAACAAACACTATCTATACAAACAATCAATAGTACAATTCCATCGATCTCTACAACACCCGAGATGTTCCAATTCATCATCCTCAACAAACAATCCAACCTCTCCTACGTTATTATCAATAATTTAATCTGTCGTTTTGTTTCATTTAAACAAAAGATATTAACGGTGAAAGTAATAGAATAATGTACATTCCTGTGAGTCAATGGGCATATCGCTAGGTTACTAACTAGGAGGTCCAAGATTCGATCCCTCCTGGTGATGGACCAGAATGTTCTATCGTGACTTTCGTTAAAACTCAATCTGATGTATATTTCGTTTCGTTTCTTTTTTGTACTTTCCATGGCCTCCACTAATATCTAGTGTATCATAGTTTGTATTAACGTGTGCTATGGGGACAGAATTATATTTGAGTTTGTTTTTTCTTCAGATTCCGGCTACTCGGTTATTCAAACAAGAGTTATGCTATGGAACCTCGGTGTTTCGTCATATCGATACGTACCCTCTTAACTTCTATCTGACAGCAACGTTACTTCCTCAGATCCAAGCTACGTGTTTTAATTCGAATTCTTCACGTGCAGTAGGTACATGTACTATGAAACCTCTGGGTTTTGGCATATTATATCGAACAGACACACCCTCTTTGTCTGCCCATGGGCGTTTACCATGACAACTTAAGAACAATATGTATACGGTACATATACTGGGCTCCAAACACGGTACATTCTAGTTGTCAGGTTATATTTCTAGTCACACAGCTATACATGTCCTCCTGTTAACGTCCTACTGTTCTGCTCCTACCGGGCTAATGAAGACGGGCATACGCCATACAAGGTGCTATGAGGGAAACTGTGGCTGCACGGCGGCACAACGACCTACTCTTATATTGAATTCCAACTGTCAAGGGATATTTTACGTGCAAGCCAATGTGTACACCGGACCTGGGTTTTTCGTCCCATCCGAATGACAAAACAGCTAGCTGTCCTTGTCAGGCCCTCCATCCTGAATCACTGGCAAGGGGGGACCACGCCGGAAAATCCCGATGAACTATCTCGGTCAATATAGGGATCGAACACCCGACCTCCAGGCTAGCGAGCCAGCGTCTTACCCACTTAGCATACTTTTAAGAATATATGATAATGCCAGGAGCCTCATTACAACCCAATACATGTATGATTTTATTTTCTCCCTGCTATGCTGTATTGTGGTTCTCCCTTGTCAGTGATGCAGGACGGAGGGGCTGACAAGGAAAGCTGTCTAGTCGTTCGGATGGGACGAAAAACCGAGGTCCCGTGTACACATTGGCGTGCACGTAAAAAGATCCCTTGGCAGTTGGAATTCGATATAAGAGTAGGCCGTAGTGCCGCTGTCCGGGCAAAATTTCCCTCATAGCACACTGTATGGCGTATGCCCGTCTTCATTAGCCCAGGTTAGGAGCAGAACAGTAGGACGTTAAACCCCATTTCATTTCATTTCATTTCATTTCTATGCTTTATTGAACGCTTCATACACATCAACAGTCAAAACAGGTCATAAATCAATTTTGTTAGTACCATTGAAAGTATATCACCTGAATTCGTAGAACATCTAAATTCAAACATATTTATTTAAATAATTGCTTGGTCGGTGGATCAGATGCAACCCTTTCGTCAAACAGTGCGCGAAACGCATCGTTAACGAGGTATTTTATTTCAGAATTGGATATCGAAGCCATACATTTTTCATTAAATATCTTTCGTTTCTCTACGTGAACATCTTCCAGCAAGGAAAATGAGTTACTGGCTCTGAACAACCTGATCGACCACAAGGTTTACAGAACAGTGCTGCCGGATTGTCACTCGCACAAATATCCGTGAACATATTACCCCCACGGTGGCTAAGTGGGTAAGATTTTGGCTCGCTAGCCTGGAGGTCGGGTGCTCGATTCCTGCATTGGTCGAGAAAGTTCGGTGGTCCTGAGAAAGACAGCTGTCTAATCGTGCGGATGGGACGAAAAACCGAGATCCCGTGTGCATATTGGCGTGCACGTAAAAGATCCCTTGACAGTTGGAATTCGATATAAAAGTAGGCCGTAACGTCGCTGTCCGGGTAAAATTTCCCTAATAGCACACTGTATGGCGTATGCCCGTCTTCATTAGCCCAGTCGGGGCAGAACAGTAGGACGTTAAACCCCGTTGCGTTTCATTTCAATCGTTATCTAGATATATTGGTTATATACTTGTGTTTGTTTCGTATTACATCACCGTCAACGTTTTATGACCGACCTTAAACCGCCAGGAAATGTGGTAAACGAATTTCGGGCGCTGTTGATTGATCTGACTACTTTTTTCATTCAGCTTTTCATTTCTGTTTTTCTTTTCTTTTATCCTTTCTCTTTTAACCCCTTTTAAATCTGAACTATGTGGATTATGGGTTAGGGTTAGGGTTAGTGCCCATTAACTAGGGTTAGGGTCTTTGTGAAAAACGGGTCGCCCAAAAAAGAAGTCAGATCAGATAACAATGCCGAATTTCGATCGTCTGCTGGATATTACCTGTGTCTGTTTTGTGTTACGTCATTTCATTCAAATAACCCAAGTTAAATATTAAACTAATTCCTCAAAGTGAAGAACCTCGTGGGTTTTCCCCGGGTCCTCCGGTTTCCTCCCACTGCTAAAGACCCATACGCGCAAGCGAATTATGTAAATAAAATTAAACCAAATGTTAGTCCCGAAATGACCTAGTTTGTGTCGAGTGGACGTTAAACCCCATTTCTCTCTCTCTCTCTCTCTCTCAAAGTGAAGATCTCTCCGCTGCATAATGTATAACTTACCTTTAAATAAATAGTCCCACACAAATTAAAAACAAAGTCAGCTACACCACGGTGTTGCTTCAATAAAGAATAAAATCCTCTCCTGTCTACAGATTCACCTATGTATGAAGATATTCCAGCAAATGAACTGAACAAATCACAGTTAATTGATTCGAGAAACAATGTGTTACACTTGATTAACCAGTCGTGTTATTCGTTGTTTCTCGAACAAAATGGATGACTGCTGTAGTTTGATAATAGACAATATACTCGACAAGACATACGTGTAGCAAGAAACAATACATGAACACAGTAAGATCAATGAAGGCGAACGGTTGAGCACGGTATGGATTAACGGTATATGAATATCCAGTTACATACGGTCAATATAAAAAATAGAATTTTAATGCAATGAATGTAATGGGGCTTAACGTCCTAGTGTTCTGCACCGACTGGGATAATGACGACGGGCATACCGCATACGCCATGCAGTGTGCTATGACAAACATTTTACCCAGATAGCGCCGCTACGGCCTACATTTATTTCCAATTCCTACTGTGGTGAGGGGTTTTTTTATGTGTACGCCCATATATACACGAGGCCTCGGTTTTTAGTTCCATCAGAACGAAGATACGTTGTCCCTGACAACCACTGACAGGGGAAGCAGTCCCCGAAGCACGCCACCGTGGCTCCTGGAACTAATGGGGAAAAACTAACCCTAAAAACAACAGTAAATGGATACCGTTCTTTTACAAGAATGCCAATTTGCCCATCATCACTACAATCCATACGAAACTTAGGCTGTCTGTCTTCAGTTAGCTCCGCTTGAGAACAGACACTAAACTAGTTGACCGACATTTTAAGTCTTAAATCGACGATTTTAGTCGAAAATACTAAGTAAACTTCGAGAATTTTGCGAAGTATGTATTCTGCTTCCATTTAATGGTGGCGTGGTTTCTAATCCCCGGCTGTACGTGACAAGGAGTAGGGTTGCCTGTCCAACCTCGTGGTTTTTCTCCGGGTCCTCCGACTGCTAAAGACCCCTACGCGCAAGCGAATTATTGAAATAAAATTAAACCATGTGTTAGTCCCGAAATGACTTAGTTTGTGTCGAGTGGACGTTAAACCTTTCTCTCTCTCTCTCTCTCTCTCTCTCTCTCTCTCTCTCTCTCTCTCCATTTAATGGAATTGAATAGGTTTATTTAGTCTTTGTGTGTATGCCAGATGTGAAACGGAGTAGAACCAGAGATTTATTCTCGAAGTATGAAGTAGATGGACCTCTGTGTGCAGAATGCACTACAATCATCCGCTTATGGAGATACTGAGTTAATCCACTATGCTAGAGCGTGTGAATTTTATGAATGATATGTATTCCCTAAACTAAAAGTTCTATGATTTTCATCACGGAACGTCTTCGGTTTCACAAACATTGATGTTTCTGATTAACCCAAATGTGAGATAGAAGGGTGGGTGGGTATAGATTGTTTATAACGGACATAAGGGCACTTGTTACTTGGTTGGATTCTCTTGAGGAAATCAACATTATCAAACATACATTAAATACATTACTACGTTGTAAAGTTGAAGTTAAAGTAGCTAAGTCTCTAACTCAATATCATCCAAAGTCTTCGACATTGAAAACGCGAACGAATTATTTATCAAAAATCAACATTTTACCATTGGCACCATAATGCGTTTCAGCGCTATTTATTACAAGGGACTCGTAGAAACAGGCTAGACACATTCCACAAGTCATGTTAAAGGGTGACGTCATATTCTTATCTGGAGAGCATGCGCAATAAATACTATCGGTGTAGACTAGAATACCCAGAAGCTATAGATTGCCATTCGATTGAGACTTCAGGCGTATTTCGCAGAACATAACTGATTAGAAATTAGAGTAAAAACAGAAACGATTGAATGTAAATCAGTTTATATACATTCATATTATATTATTATATGCGTGGCGACCCATTTGTTTCAATTTCTAGGTCCCAAATATTAGCGATTTAACTCCTGTAATTGTTACTATTTTAAACATAAATGAAATGAAATGAAATGGGGTTTAACGTCCTACTGTTCTGCTCCTAAACTGGGCTAATGAAGACGGGCATACGCCATACAGTGTGCTATGCGGGAAATTTCGCCCGGGCAGCTACGCTACGGCCTACTCTTATATCGGATTCCAACTGCCAAGGGTTCTTTTACGTGCACGCCAATATGTACACGGGACCTTGGTTTTTTTGTCCCATCCGAACGACTAGACAGCTGTCCTTGTCAGGCCCTCCGTCCTACATCACTGACAAGGGGAAACCACGCAGCTAACAGTATATAAATAATGTATCCTACAGTAAATGTATGTATAAACACACTTAAAATCCATTCCGATTGTCGAGAACTTTTAACCGCACATGGACGAAGGACCGGACAAAGATAGCACGGAAAAGTGCCCCCGGCAGTTTGAATACGAAATAATGTCCCTCATAGCACAGTGTATGGCGTATGCCCGTCATCATTAGCCCAGCTCAGAGCAGAATAGTAGGACGTTAAATCCCATTCCATGTCTTTTTATTTTAAGCGCACATAGGCCTACTAAGATTTTATCTGGTGGGCATCGGTCTTCGCTCGATGGAAACAACTAGGCATACCCCGGCTTGAATAGCGCGTTGGTTTATAACAATGCCGATTTCAGGTATTTATTCTTGGGTTTTCCCTGATATATTCAGAAAATCATGATGACATAAATGATTCTTCATAGCTCATTTTTACTGTTATTTGTATGACGTCACTATTTTACGTAACGTAAAACAAAGCAAAGTAAAACGTAAATCAGCCACCGTAGGAAATGAAATGAAATGAAATGGGGTTTAACGTCCTACTGTTCTGCTCTTATACTGGGCTAATGAAGACGGGCATACGCTATACAGTGTGCTATGAGGGAAATTTTGCCCGGGCAGCGGCACTATCGCCTACTCTTATATCGGATTCCAACTGCCAAGGGATCTTTTACGTGCATTCCAATGTATACACGGGACCTCGGCTTTTCGTCTCATCCGAAGGACTAGACAGCTGTCCTTGTCAGGCCCTCCGTCCTGCATCACTGACAAGGGGGAACCACGAGCCACCGTAGGACTTTGCTATTTCGTTTTCATATTTCTTAAGACTTGAAACTATATTAATTTATTCATTATTATTAAATCTGTCAAGCATATTTAATTTTCATAATTGCCTGAGACGTGTTCATTAAAAATATATATATAATTTAGGACGAAAACAAAAAAATCTATCCTTTTGTAAAGAACAAAAAAGGCCTGAAACCCACAAGTCAGAAATTACAAATAAATCTGGTAGAAGTCCGTTAAATAAATCAAAACTAGATCAAAATTTAATGTTTAATCAAAATCATCGAGAGAAAATGTCACGTCAAGTTATTGCTATCAACAGAAATGAATTATCTTCTCACGTTTCTGAGGGTTGTATGGCCGAATGGTCAGCGTGTGCGCGTTGTATCATAAGTTCTGTCATTGAGCCAACTGGCGTGGTTTCGATTCCCGGTCGTACGTGACAAGGAGTTGGGTCGCCTGTCCAACCTCGTGGGTTTTCTCCGGGTCCTCCGGTTTTCCCCCACTGCTAAAGACCCCTACGCGCAAAATAATTATTGAAATAAAGTTAAATCATATGTTAGTCCCGAAATGACCTAGTTTGTGTCGAGTGGACGTTAAACTCCATCTCTCTCTCTCTTTTTTTCTCACGTTTCAAAGAAAACACAAAGATAGAATCAAAAAATCAATCATAGGTAACTTACCGATTTTATTAAAATGGTTGACTTGGATAATAATCCAGATTTAATTACAAAATTCACCACTCGTTAATAGGAGTTTTATCCCAACTGAGAATTCGATACAGTCTGCTTTAGAATAGGTTACATCAGAGACAGTATAGATCCATCCACTCGGTACATCCAGGCGATTCTTAGATTCTTCACAGATCGTCTTTTATCGCTCTATCGATTTAATGGTCATCTTGGATAAACTACCGGTCATGCGCAATTAACCGAGCTGCTTATTGATTGATAAGATGTTTGCACCTGTCCTGAACTAAAATATTTCATTCGTCTTGATTATGTACATACTAAACTGAGGCTGTCTGTCTACAGCTAGCTCCGCCTGAGCAAAGACTCTAAGCTAGTTGGCCGACATTTTAAGTAATAAATCGACGATTTTAGCTGAAACGCTATGCATACTTCGAGAATTTTGAGACGTGTTTATTTCGTATCCATTCAATAAAATTGAAAAGGTTTATTTGTTCTTGGTGTGTATGACAGATGTGAAACGGAGTAGAGCCCCATTAAAAAATAGTAAATTAATTTTTGGATATGGCGTCCATTTAGGGCAGAGATCTATTCTGAAAGTATGAAGTGGATAGATCTCTGTATACAGAATGGAATCCCATTTCACAAAACACACTTAAATTGTATTTTCCAGTTATAAGTAACTTATTGTGTGTTACCTTTCGATAATAACACAAGAGAGAGAGAGAGAGAGAGAGAGAGAGCGAGAGAGAGAGGGGGTGGGGTCTAACGCCCACCCGACACAAACTAGGTCATTTCGGGACTAACATATGGTTCAATTTTATTTCAATAATTCTTTTAGCAGTGGGAGGAAACCGGGAGACGGGGACAAAACCCACGAGGGTGGACAGGCGACCCTACTTCTTGTCACGTACAACTGAGGAATTGAAACCACGCCAACTGACTCAAAGACAGACCTTATGATACAACGCGTAAGCTTTAAACCTAGTTTGTGTTGATTGAACATTAAACACCATTTCGGGACCTACTGGCCCAGCTCCGTAATTACTGAACCACCGTGGGTCCCTTGAGCAAGAAGAACCACCGTGGGTCCCTTGAGCAAGATGAACCACCGTGAGTCACTCGAGCAAGAAGAACCACCGTGGGTCACTTGAGCAAGAAGAAGCACCGCGGGTCCCTTGAGCAAGAAGAACCACCGGGGGTTCCTTGACCAAGAAGAATCACCGCTATTGTGACCAGTATTCTTTGTTTGTCCAAATTATACAAAAGATGAAAGAAAAACCCAATAATTAAAACATGAGTGCGGAAACACACCTTGATAGAAATGGAGTTGTCATTTATTGATTTCTCATTCTGAAAGGGGATCACCTGGCTAAGTGGGTAAGACGCTAGCTCGCTAGCCTGGAGGTCGGGTGTTCGATCCCTGCATTGGCCGAGAAAGTTCATCCAGATTTTCCGGCGTGTCTAGTCGTTCGGATGGGACGAAAAACCGAGGTCCCGTGTACACATTGGCGTGCACGTAAAAGATCCCTTGGCAGTTGGAATTCGATATAAGAGTAGGCCGTAGTGCCGCTGTCCGGGCAAAATTTCCCTCATAGCACACTGTATGGCGTATGCCCGTCTTCATTAGCCCAGGTTAGGAGCAGAACAGTAGGACGTTAAACTCCATTTCATTTCATTTCATTTCATTTCATTTCATTTCATTCTGAAAGTGTCATCTCGTTTTGGCTCATTACACCAGACGTTATCATCCAGCTGTTCTTAAAGGTCACCGGAAAAGCTTCATAATTTTTTTTTTTAATATTGCAAGTAATCATGTCAACATATCCTTTCTATAAGTATAACACGAACCCGAATGTCAATATAACCTGCAACAGGTAAATTTCAACGTTAGTAATTAATTTCCGCCGTTCTCCGTGAGTAGTCACAACTTTCCGTCAATAATAATCCATGACGTCATATTAGTCCTTCTGCTAATAGAAATATAGACTCGAATATGAGCAGAAGGACAAAAGGGTTATCGTAAATAACCGACATGTTTCGAATGAATAGGTTGCTGGTCCGTGTGAACGTGAGACCTAAGAAGGTTGTTATCGACTAGGTTGATCGATCTGTTTGGTCGTGTTACTAATATCCAAAGAACAAAACCATTGATGCGTCCATAGCAACAGGAAAAACATACAACATACCAAGTGAATAGACATAGATTTGAGCATAGATTGAAGATGATAATAAATATGTGAAATCAAATAATCACAAGTCGAGTGTGAGAGGTACATGGCTACTGCTTCTATTTTAAGTTTTATATTTGATCCATGTCAACTGGAGCATTCAACATCGAAATTAAATAAAATGGGGTTCAACGTCCTACGCCATACAGTATGCTATGAGGGAAATTTTGCCTGGGCAGCAGTACTATGGTTTACTCTTATATCGAATTCCAACTGTCAAGGAATCTTTAATGTGCACGCTAATGTGTACACAGGACCTCGGTTTTTCGTCCTATCCGAACGACTAGACAGCTGTCCTTGTCAAGCCATCCTTCCTGCATCACTGACTGAGCAAAACAGTAGGACGTTAAACCCCATTTCATTTAAGGTAGATTAAAAACGTTGATTTCACCAAGTTTCCAAAAAGGCCTGTACGTGATAAGGAGTAGTCTGCCTAACTTCGTGGGTTTTTCTCTATGCTCTCCGGATTCTACCCTCTTGTAAAGACTCCTACCCGGAAGCGAATTTTTAAATATATATATATATATATATATATCATATGCTATTCCGGAAGAATGAACTGGTTTGTGGCAAGTGGACCTCTCTTCCTCTCTCTCTCTCTCTCGTTGAGAGTCATGTACTCTACCATCAATAATAATGCCTCTGATTACCAGGCGTTGATCCAATGGGAGGGGGGCGGCGCACCCGGTGCACGCCCCCACCCCCTATTTTTGGCGGTGGCGAACAATTTGCGGGAAAGGAGAACAAAAATACTTAAAAATGGTAGTGATCCCCGTCGTAATTTACTCCGAAACGAGTGGGTTGGTGACTTGGTTGATTGCCCGTCAGTCCGCCTAAGGAGGGCCGGGCTTCGCACGCCCCCCCCCTTATTTCTGAAAATCCTGGATCCGCCCCTGACTACAGTCAATTCTATTCAGAAGCAGACCCGACTCGGTCCATAAAACCCTTTAGGGATTTAACCAATCTGATTAAAACACCGATCCTATTTCGTTTCGTTTTTTTATGTCGTTTCACTTGTCTTTACTACACTAGGATCTGTAAGAGTTGTTATCATTGACGTGTTCTGAATGGTGTGAGGAATTAGCCAATGAAACGGCCTGTTACGGCGTGTTTTGCACGGAACTGTGGGTAATCCACTAGTAACATCAACGCTGATTGGTTAATCAAATGTCTGACGTCACAGGGTCAAAAGCCGCTCGTATGACCTCTGACGCGACCTTTCGCTACAACCGGTCAGATCTTCATGTAGTGTAGACCATCGAAAGTATAAAAAAAAACGAAACGAAATATAGATCTGTATTATAATCAGATTTGGGATTTAACATATGGTAAAGATGAGAATGGGTGGCAATCTATAGAATTAGAGGAAATGAAATGAAATGGGGTTTAACGTCCTACTGTTCTGCTCGTATGCTGGGCTATTGAAGACGGGCATACGCCAAACAGTGTGCTATGAGGGAAATTTTGCCCGGGCAGCGGCACTATCGCCTACTCTTATATTGGTTTTTCGTCTCATCCGAAGGGCTAGACAGCTGTCCTTGTCAGGCCCTCCGTCCTGCATCACTGACAAGGGGGAACACCGCCGAAAAATCTGGATGAACTTTCTCGGCCAATGCAGGGATCGAACACCCGACCTCCAGGCTAGCGAGCCAGTGTCTTACCCACTTAGCCAAGTGATCCCCATATAATTAGAGTCATTATGTTGAGATGACAAATGGTTTATTATAATATCATATAGTAATATAGAAATCAGATTAACTAATATACAATAGTACAACGATTAAAACGAGATCTAGAGATAATTAACATTAATATGTAAAAATAAATAAGAGAAGAACTAGTGTTTGGGATCTGTATGAAATTTTACAATTTGTACAATTATATAATCAACGATGTCAATTGTTGTAAGACATTCTGATTAAAACATGGATCCTATTTCGTTCCGTTTTTTTATAGTTCAAAATTTCGTTTTACTTTTTTTCACTACACTAGGATCTGGAAGAGTTGTTATATTACCGCGTTTTGGTTGGTGTGAAGGATTAACCAATGAAACGGTCTGTTACGGCAATTTTTTGGCATGATGTGCACTGAACTGTGGGTAACCCACTAGTAACATCAACGCTGATTGGTTAATGAAATGTCTGACGCGACCTTCCACTACAACTTATCAGATCTTCATGTAGTAGAGACTATCAAAAGGATTAAAAAAAACGAAACGAAATATAGATCTGTATTTTAACCAGACTGGGTTGATGACGTTAGTCCTAATACTTAGCCTCAGCTTAATGGCTGTGATGCTACAGCCATTTAACATTGAATTCAATGGGCAAATAATTGCTAGTCTGAGTTCACATACGATGTTCGGGTTATCAGAACAATAACTCATGGTTATTAATATGAACAGATTAACTGTTGATATAATGAGGATTTAAGATCATATGAAAACACCTATAATAAGTTACAATAAACTAAATATAATACAAAATACCGTGGACGGATTACTACAAACAATAAATAATAAAAGAGTGACATATTCATAGATTTATTACAGGATTTCTTTAAAGATACATTCCCGCGTACAAACTGGGTGATTTGAATATATTTTCAAACTAATTAATTTATCATAAATTTGCTTCAAATCCTTTTTAAAACATTGTAATTGTCAGGGAATACCCCTGTTATAAAAAATCGATCAAAAGAGGTCATGTTTGTGTCACGTGACTTACTTCTCTCGGTAACTAGCAACGGGCGCGAATTCATTGCATATACAAGACGATGTTGTCTTTAATTGGTGACTATTTATTACAAATATCGGAGCCCAATAAATTCTCGGATTATCAACTGCCCATGTTTTGTTCCGTGTTTTTTTTTAACTCAGAAACTGTGGTACTATCAGGTTTATCAACATATACATCAAACGCTCACTAACGCTGGGCGATTAGTTGTGCGTGCTACCTTTGACGTCACTCGAGCAGACATCACTAATCGTCGGGTTGCCGGTTAGGGAAACCCTTACAATTTTGTCCTGTATGCACTCCATGGGTGTTTTTCATGGAATCTGGTATTTTTCTAGTAAGATTGGATGTTTCTACTTTCCATATATACCAAAATTGCCGTACTTTTATTGGAAATAACCACCCGATAAATACTTTTCTGGGAAAGTATCTTTAAATAGATAAATGTGACTATATAAATTTTAAATGATTTGATAAGAAACAGTAATTCGATATAAAACTATCAAGGCGACTTCATTAAAAGGCATAACAGAAAATGCTGCATTTACTCCTTAATTAACAAACGAATTATTCTTTATTTTTTTTGGGGTGCAACACGGGCGGGATAGGGTCCGTAGACATCATTAAAATGAATAACAGAGAATGTTGAATTTAATTAACAGACCAATTATTCTTTAATTTATTGGGGTGCAACAGGGGCGGGTTGGGGGCCGCAAGACTGGGGGCCCCTATTCTACCGGGGATCCGGGTTGGATTTCTCACCCGCCCCTCTCCGCCCGGGAGTGAGAATGTTTTGAGAAGCAAAACTATCTGTAAATGGTGCTTTCTAGAGTTTTTCCTGGATACCAAACTTCCACAGACTACAACGGATAATAGTAAGAAATAACTCCAATTAGATATCGAATTTTCTTTTTTACATTATTATACTTAGGACTAAAAAGGGCACCAAAACTACGAGAGAAAAATTCATTTTCTTAGGGCCTCGCAGACTCCTTCTCAGTTCATCCAAGCGGGTGCAAAATAAGAGTGCATCATTAAAGCTTCTTCCCCAATTCAAATGTTAATTCACAAGAAAATACGAAAATCTTAAAGGCATATTTTAAAAAAAGACACAATTATTCAGATTGTTAAAAATAGTGTGAACGACTTCTTGAATTTATGCGCAAAAAGTGACAAAGGTCAAGGTCATGCTCGGGGCTGGGGTGGCTGGGTGTTATTGCTACGATTATTTTATTGCTGTGTTTGAGTTGTGGAAGAGATGGTTGGAGGGCACTCGGCAAACCTCGGCAGATTCCGTTACTCTACGTCTAGCCTCGGCTGTATGACGAAGTCCGCCATCCCGGATTACCAACGGCGTTGCCCATGACGACGCCTTTGAAAAATGTTTTATCATACAAATATTTCTAAGCTGAAGCTGTTTTCCTTTCAAGTTTATCCAATTTTCTTCAAACAAGGACAAATTTGCACTGAAAATTCTACCCACGCTTCGAACGAAGCAATTTTGATAACTTTTTTTTAAAAGCGGCAAGTTTTTCTAATAAGTAAACTGGTGCCGCATCGCAATTGTATAGGCGTAGGTACATATCACTTGCCGTAATACAGCCGAGGTTAGATGTAGGGTACTGGAATCTGCTGAGGTTTGCCGAGTGGGTTGGAGGGTTGTCCTTCACGCAATATGCATCTGGGCTAGTAACTTTAGTAACGTATTGTATCGGCTCTGCTCTCTACTACGTTACTGCTGCGTGCTCATGCAACTAATATGAAAATAAGGCTTTTCCCCCGCCTCGTTTCTAAGGTTATTTTTGATTCCTTACCCTCAATTTTTCACCGTGATTCTTCTTTGATCGCCAAAAGGAATCATTTCTTGCCACACCCGACACAAATTTATAAAAATCCAACACCATTTTCATGTAGAATTGTGCGATACAAAAACAAAAACAACTTTCATTTGAATTGGTTGCCATTATCAAACTCACGCTCAACCAATATTCCAAATTTAGGAATGGAATTTTACCGTAAACGTTGTAGAGAGGAGATCAGATACAATACGTTACTAGAGTAACTACATGTGGGCATGCTGGCACTTGTCGCGAATGTCACTATGGATAGGGGAACATAAAAAATCATTCAAGGCCACTCTAAAATAACCCTGACGCGGTTAGAAATGACTTCCCCTATTATAACGACTTATTAAAACGTCTGAAAGGTACTGACTGACTTTCTTATTATGACGGACTTATCAACACACCTTAACGGTACTGACTGACTTCCTTATTATGACGGACTTATTAACACACCTTAACGGTACTGACTGACTTCCTTATTATGACGGACTTATTAACACACCTTAACGGTACTGACTAACTTCCTTATTCCGTAGAATTTTGTCCCAAACGAAACATTAAAACGTAACACTTAATTAGATCCCGTCCAATACAATATTTAAAATCATGACTTTAATATTCACAATATACAATCCATTGAAATGTATCTACGATACTGTCCAAAAACAGAACCGTAGCCGCAACGTAAAATGCATCGCTCCAGGATATTTGGAGCTTTCATTGAGTTTTCACATGGACCCACTTTCGATTTCAACATTCTGCTGTTGTATACACTGAATTTAAATCCAAACGTTGAATAAAGTTACAGTCCTAATTTAATCTCCCGGGTTCATTAGCCCAGTCAGAGCAGAAAAGTAGGACGTTAAACCCCATTTTATTTCCTAATATAATTTGTGAAACGCCGAACAGAAAATCGAGTAGTGTGCGGTGGAGATGTGAACTTGTTATCTATGAAGAAATATTAAAGGGCTATTTACACAGGGTCGGAGATAATTTTATCAAAAGGCTTCTCTATTTTGTAATAACAGCTTTAATCTGAAAATAAAAAAAATAAATAAATTAAATATATACTGAAATTGTAACTGCGGTACTATTTGTAACCAGGGTATTATACCCAAAAGCTGACATGTTTCCTATTTGTAACCAGGGTCTTATATCCAAAAGACGATATGTTTCCTATTTGTAACCTGGGTCTTATACCCAAAAGACGATATGTTTACTATTTGTAACCGGGCCCAAAAAACAATATGTTTACTATTTGTAAAACCCGATACAATTTTTGAAGTCACTCATACACTTGAAAACCCTTGTTCGGGATTGCTGTTCAGCCAATATTTTTAGGAATGCTGTTTAAACCAGCATCGACTCCATGCGCATTTAAGAAATTGCCATTCTCATGTGAACGTAACAATGTGGCAAAGATGGACGAGAGAGATCAGGAAGGTTTGATATCTCATCTATTCATACCCTTTGTTCCAGTTTCTATCCGAGGGGAGTTGGGTGGCCGAATGGTTAGCGTGTGCGCGCTGTATCATCAGGCCTGTCATTGAGTCAACTGACATGATTACAAATCTCCGGTTGTATGTGACAAGGAGAAGGGTTGCCTGTCCAACCTCGTGGTTTTTCTCGGGGTCCTCCGGTTTCCACCCACTGCTAAAGATCCCTACGCGCAAGCGAATTATTGAAATAAAATTAAACATATGTTAGTCCCGAAATGACCTAGTTTGTGTCGAGTGGACGTTAAACCCCATTTCTCTCTCTCCCTCTCATTTTATCATTATATATATATTTTAGAAATATGGGATTAACATGGACGACAATGGAAAGTAAAATACAGGTGGTCTGATCCCGCTTTATACAACAAGAGTGGCGTCCCTTTAGACACTTCCCGAACGTAATGACGCCATAATATGAAATGCGTGCTTTATATAAAAGAAAACCTGCCTATAAACCCCATGCTTTTCTCATCATCAGATCGAAATAGGAATCTTCGTCGATACTACAGCTTAAAGCAGAATAATAGGCAATAAATTCGTCTTTAGTAACCTGAAGAATGAAGGAAAATATCACACCATTAGACATATGTATACATATCATGTTTTTGAGTAAAGGGGAGCACCTGTCGGGTCTAATTCTTTTCATGCCTAGTCTATTTTTCTGCTGGAACATGTATATATCTCATTATATTTCCATTTCATTATATCATGTTATTCCAATATATTATTCCATGTAAAATATAGTTTTATTGATGTATGTGTATGTTTTATATACTGTTCTTAATGGATGTAATATGAAAATAAAAAAAAAAGTTGAAATTTATACAACCCAGTACAACATAGTATTTTGCGAGTAGGGAGGTTGGGTTAGCACGTGCGCGCTGTACCATAAAGTCTGTCATTGAGTCAACTGGCGTGGTTTCGAATCCCCGGTTGTACGTGGCAAGGAGCAGGGTCGCCTGTCCAAATTCGTGGGTTTTCTCCGGGTCCTCCGGTTTCCTCCCACTGCTAAAGACCCCTACGCGCAAGCGAATTATTGAAATAAAATTGAACCATGTGTTAGTCCCGAAATGACCTAGTTTGTGTCGAGTGGACGTTAAATCCCATTTCTCTCTCTATTTCTTGAGAATTAAATATCTCCGATTATAAGTGGAATTAGGACGCTTGAAGAAGGGGAAGCACACTGATCAGCAGTGAATTTTCGCTAGGCCGCTACATTCACTGATAAGGATGACATCGATGCGACTTAATGAGTCCCAAATATTAACTTTTTTCTTCCGTCAAATTAAATTATAAAACATGTTTTTCATTTATTAGAAAAATAAATAAAGACGTTTGAATTGTTTGTAGGTAAAAATCATTTCCTATTTAGTGTAAATGGGTATTAAAATAAGTAAAATTCACCATTTAGTCCGAATCAGTAACGTCTTTTGTAAACAATGCACGCGTTATTGGGCCAATGATTGACGCCGCGTGATGTGACGTCACGTGTCGAAATAGGTAACAGGGATATTAAGAGATCTCTGTGAAACAGATTGAAGGAGAATGTGGGGGAGTGGAATTAGTTAAGAGATTTTTGCCTGGGCATTGGTATTTCCATTTTGCTATAGGAAGTTTGGGAGGGAGGGTGGGGGGGGGGGGGGTCTTAGCTTGTAAATCAGGGATTAGAGCCTATTAACACGGGTTAATCCATAGGGTTTCTACGATTTCGGGTGGGGATGGGCGAATGGTTAGCGCTTGACCGCAGTATCATAAAGTCTGTCATTGAGTCGCGTGGTTTTGATTCCCCAGTTGTACGTCACAAGTAGTAGGGTCTCTCTTGATCATTCTTATTGGCATATTTAAGAATATTCCCTTCATGGACATCACTTTCGCTACTTTTAGAAAACTATGCTAGCATTTACAAGGATCCACGGTGACTTGGCGAGTATAACGCTAGGTCTCAGGAGCAGTGGTGGCTCGGCGAGTAAGGCGCTTGCTAGCTAGCCAGCCAGGAGGTCTAGGCCTCGCTCCCAATAGTGGCCGAGAACGTTTCTTGGATTTTCCCATGTAATTCCCCCTTGTCAGTTGTAACGGCGGGTCTGACAAGGACAGTTTCTGGTCATTCGGATGGGACCAAAAACCAAGGTCCTGTGTATACATTGGCGTGCACGTAAAAGATCTCTTGACAGTTGGAATTCGATATTAGAGTAGGCCATAGTGCCGCTGTCCGGGCAAAATTACCCTCAAAGCACACTGTATGGCGTATGTCAGTCTTCATTAGCCCAGTCGGAGCAGAACAGTAGGACGTTAAACGCCATGTCATTTCAATTCATTTATAACATACCTTTCCATCTACGTGTTTATCAGATTCAAATGATTTTAAAAATTCTTCAAGGCATTGTTTTGGTTTCCATTCGCCATTTAAATATTTAGGATGGTGGGAGATGTCGTATTCCCCTAAATCTTCAGTTGTAATCACCCCATCTCCAGACTTATCGAATTTATTGAACGCTTGACAAACTATATTCATACGATTCTGTGACATTGCTGGCTGAAATAAAAACGCATACATGTATACGAAGAGCCCCGGGGAAGAACGATCTAAGTCACCTTTTCAACGATCCCCAATTAATGGCGCCATCTAGCATAAGCTTTCTGTGGAACAATCAATTTCAGGTAAAAACGATCGGAGTCACTATGAACCAAGCCGAAATGGCCTCCCGGACAAATAGAAGTCCACCGTACCCTTGATTTAACCATCGAACCAAAGCCCTTCTGAAATACAAGTCCATCGTTTTTATTTGACCTTAATAGGCTGAAAAGTTGAAGTCAGTTGTTGTACTGGTAATTATGATTCGTATTAAACATCATTTTGAAGTTGTATTTAAATCCACTCGTTGTTCTCTTCGCGTCAAGCATTCTCGTCCAAAGTCTGTTTTACCTTTTATGCGAAAAGACAAAAATGTGACTTAGATCGTTCTTCCCCTGGACTCTTCATATGCAATCTATATCCCGAGTGATTTAAAGATATATATCATGGGAGATTAGATAAAGAGCTGGCAATTCTCACTATAATAGTTAAAAACCAGATAATGTAAAGGTAATTTACTGAAAATTTCAGTCAAATTGATTCACTCTGAACCGAGATTTTAGCGAATGAATTTTCGACGGAGCCTCGATCATCATTACTAAAGTCGGTACGATAAACAACATAGTCTCGATTATCCATTTCATGATTAAATCACGAATGAAAGTTGACCAGCAAATCTGATCGTAATCCAGTAAATATCGTAGGCTAGCGATGACATCGAGAGTTAATTATGGTCTGGACAAGTTAATTAATTAATAATTTAGATAACATTTCAGGCCTAAAGAAAGACCTGCAATAGGTAGATTTAGCTCTTGCATAATGTATGTTTAACGTTTCCGGCGTGGTTTCCCCTTGTCAGTGATGCAGGATAGAGGGCATGATAAGGGACAACGTATAGTCGTTCAGATGGGACGAAAAACCAGTGTGGTCCCGTGTAAACATTGGCGTGTACGTTAAAGAACCCTTGGCATTTGGAATTCAACATAAGAGTAGACCGTAGCGCTATCTGGGAAAAATTGCCCTCATAACACACGGTATGGCGTGTATACCCGTCTTCATTAGCCCAGTCGGCGCAGAAGAATAGGACGTTAAACCACATTTCATTTCGTTTCTTGGTCATCGCAAGTTGCAAATAGTCCAGTTAAATCTAGGCGGAACCCTTACCCTCATTTTCTGATAGAATTCTGTGACATTAATGCTTCCGCTTCCGTCTTCATCAAATCTATTAAAAACCTCCTTAAACTCTGCATCGGTAACATCATGTAAACCAAAATCTCTCATACCAGTTTTAAATTCTTCTAGTGTTAGTTTCTGATTCCTGTCATCATCCATTATCCGAAACCATCTGTTAAACGGAAACGGAAGTAAAACCATAGAAAAACATGAATAAAACATTTCAGAAACTCAAATCATATAAAACTATTTGTAAAAAGGAAATACACCATCATATTGGTAAGTTTTCGTTATATAAAATAATACGCTCTTTCTGTCACGGAATCTGATTAAAATACAGATCTATATTTCGTTTAGTTTTTTATACTTTCGATGGCCTACACTATATGAAGACCTGACAAGTTATAGCGATAGGTCACGTCAGGGGTCAAAAGACCGACTTATTACCCTATGACGTCAGACATTTGATTAACCAATCAGCATTGATGTTCCGTGAAAAACACGCCTAAAACTCGCAGTAACAGACCGTTTCATTGGCTTATTCCTGACACCATTCAGAACACGAGTTAAATAACAACTCTTCCAGATCCAAGTGTAGTAAAGACAAGTAAAGCGAAATTTTGAACTATAAAAACGAAACGAAATAGGATCTGTGTTTTAATCAAAATGCAGCTCATAGTGAGCTCTTGATTTGATCAATGGGGGGGAGGGGGACGAATGGTAAGCACGTGTGCGCTGTATCATGAGGTCTGCGATTGAGTCAACTGGCGTTGTTTCGTGACAATAGGCTCGCCTGTCTAACCTCGTGAGTTTTCTCCGGGTCCTCCGGTTTCCTCCGACTGCTAAAGACCGCTACGCGCAAGCAAATTATTGAAATAAAGTTGAACCATGGGTTAGTCCCGAAATAACCTAGCTTTTGTCGAGTGGACCTTTTACTTGTATTTACTACACTAGGACCTGGAAGAGTTGTTATATAAGCTGCGTTCTAGATGATGTGGGGGATTAGTCAATGAAACGGTCTGTTACGGCGAGCTTTTGGCGTGAGGTGCACGGAACTGTGGGTAACCCGCTAGAAACATCAACGGCGATTAGTAATCAAATATCTGACGTCAGAAGGTAAAAATCCGCTAGTATGACCCCTGACGTGACCTATCGCTATAACTTGTCAGATCTTCATGTAGTGTAGGCCATCGAAAGTATAAAAAAACGAAACGAAATATAGATATGTATTTGAATCAGATTGTATGAGCTGTCACTTGAACCTACCTTGAGAGATTTTTTATACCGGCTGGACCTCGACCTAACAGAGCCAGTTTGACTTTCTCCACCGGGTCTTTTGTGTTAACTTTCTGTTTCTTGGCTTTACTATTCAATTCATTTTGCAACTGTGTAAGATTAGCCATTTTAATTACGTTTCGTTAAAAACTGAAATGATAAAACAAGGACAAAGAATGAATAAAGGGAATTATTTAGTAATTGTCTGGCTCTTATTTACAAACTCTCATTATAGGGTTTCGAGTCTGCTCAAAACACAGTCTTATGGTATAGGGTTTGGCGTCTGGTCAAAATTGAGAGAGGGGTGGGGGGTGTAACGTCCACTCGACACAACCCAAGCGACTAACACGGTTCTATTTTAATTAAATAATTCTTTTGTGCGTAGGAAGCCACACCACGTGACCCAATGACCCCCACTCTACCTCCCACTACAGGAACTAACAAACCTCCGTGTTATATCTCCCACAGCAACTGTTTTAAGATGGCTATTCTACGGAGTCCCTATTCTACGTGACCCAATGACCCCCACTCTACCTCCCACTACAGGAACTAACAAACCTCCGTGTTATATCTCCCACAGCAACTGTTTTAAGATGGCTATTCTACGGAGTCCCTAAGTGCACGATTCCACTCTTATATAATTATTACATCACTCTTATATTAATTCAGTATATCGAAATATTATATCGTTTAAACAAGATATTCATTCGTTTAAACGAGATATTCATTCATTTGAAAGAGATATTAATTTGCTTAAAAAAAATAATTAATTCGCTTAAAAAAAATTAATTAATTCGTTTAAACAAATTAATTAATTCGTCTAAACGATAGAACTATCCCGGGGAAATGCCCTTCATAGCACTCTGTATGGTGAATGTCTGTCTTCATTATCCCGGTCGGTGCAGAACAGTAGGACGTTGAACTCCATTTCATTTCATTTCATTAAGGGTTGATATTGAAGCAATATTAACCTCCAATGGCCAAGTGCACAAATGAATGAATGAATGAATGGAATGGGGTTTAACGTCCTACTGTTCTGCTCCTACTGGGCGGACGGCCATACGCCACTGACGTCAAGGCAATGTCTACATAAGACGTTACTGATTCGAGCAGAATGGCGACCTTTACTCATTTCAACACCCATTTACACTAAATAAGAAATAATTTTTACCTACAAATACTTCAAAAGTCTTTATTTATTTTTCTAATACACAACAAAAATGTTTAGAATTTAATTTGTCGGAGGAAAAGTTAATATTTGGCGCTCTATATCAGTGATTGTAGCGGCCTAGCGAATATTCACTGCTGATCAGTGTGAGCCTTCCCTAGAAATGTATAGGTCACCATCAATGACCTGTGGCAGATTTAAGACAGGATCTATGCTCATAATAGTTATAAGAACATTCTCTTAGCTATTTTGTGCCCCCCCTCTCTCTCTCTCTCTCTTTCTCTCTCTTTCTCTCTATCTCTCTCTCGTGTGTGTTTTTAATTAAACACGGTGGTATAATGAATGAGAATGTGACGTCGATATTAATAGTAATTACCTGTAATTAAATACCATCTGGTAATTGCAGTGGTAATAATTAATAGCCAGGAAATGAACAGCGTGTATATAGCAGGTCAATATAAGGTTGTGTGGGGTAGATAGACAAACGTTAGTTGATCAGGCGATACATGATTTTAATCGATTATACGGTGTCAATACGTTCACTGACTCAATAAATCTATTTGCTAAGGTCAGCTCATTTTTTGTTAAGGTCGTTGAGATGTAAATAAGGTTAGGGCACGTGATTGTTGGGGAGATTGTAGGTTAGGGTAAGCATTGGGGCTAGGCCCAGGGTTAGGGCTGGCCCAGAGTTGGGATTAACGTTAGCCCCGTTTACACCTAGTGACCTATGACGAAAAATTAAGCTAGCCTTATCATTTAGCGCTAACCCTTCATTAAAGGTTTAGCTGTACAAAGTTCCCTGGGATTTCCCAATGTGTTTTTCCCTTGTCAGTGGTGTGCACGTCAAAGAACCCTTGACAGTTGGAACTCAAATGTTGTCCTGGCACACTTACCCTAGCAGAACACTGCCTGGCGTGTGCCCATCTTCGTTAACACGATTGGTGCAAAAAACGTAGAACGTTAAACCCCACTGCATTCATACAAAATAAAATGAAATATTGTTTAAGGGGGGGGGGGGGGCACTGCTCGACAATATGCATTTTAAAATAGCTGATAGTGCTACCAGAAATGAGATTTTTTAAAATACTGTCGAGCAGTAACTGCCCCTTAACGTTTTACTGCATAATGAGAAGACAAACGCCATACAGTGTGCTATAACGAAAATTCTTGCCTGGACAGTGGCAATATATACGGCCTAATCTTATTCCGGTCTGCAACACGTTTTGTCCCAACCGAACAACCTGGCGCTACACTAGGCCCTACACGAATGAGAAACCAGGCTGCACACACCAGAATCAAACCCGGGACAGCCTGGTTCATCAGCTACTGCCATATTTACTGAATCCCCGTGGCTCTCGATCCCCTTTCAAAATTCCTCAAATGACGAACCCAGACTGGAAAATCATGGGGCTCTTTCTAGGCCAACACCAGAATCGAACTTGTAATCTCCTGGTTGATGAGCTACAATCCTACTCACCGAACCACCGTGACTCCCCCGTGTCAAATCCCTCAAATGACCATCAGCGGCTTTCAGTGATAATAAAGTAATTTGTTAATTGTTAATTTGGTAATGTGGTACTTTGCTAGATGATAGTTGGTAATGTGGTACCATACCATCGGATCTTGTCTCGAATCGTCATTAATATATATGTTTATAACTCTACTGGGAGTTTTAACAACAGACCACATGTTTTATTTCTACCTTTGTGTATAAAATTAATATCCATTAATATATCATCTAGAAATGTCACCTGTTGTCACACACGATCGCATTGGTTAGCTGCTATACCAGCGGCGAACGCAGACAATTTTTTGTTCGCCCTTGCCCACCTCTGGCTACGGGCCTGGTAAACACTGAAACAGTGAAAACGGAGTGAAAATGGGATTTTGGGCTAGAACGCATGCGCTGACTGCATGAGAAAATAACTCAACCAACCATGACAGCTGAAACATATTCATTAGGTTTAATTACGTCACGGTTCTACTCACACCACCTCCGATGTTGCCAATAATCACGTGCCCTAGACTTAATAACATCTCGGCGACCTTGACGAAGAATAGATCTAGCCCGTTGGGTGGCCGAATGGTTGCACGCGTGCGTGTTCGGTCTGTCATTGAGTCAATTGGCGTGCTTTCAATTCACATGTTTGTACGTGACAAAGAGCATGGTCGCCTGTCCAACTTCATCGGTTTTCTCCGGGACTTCCGGTTTCCTTCCACTGCAAAGTACGATATGTTAATGACCTAGTTTGTATCGAGTGGACGTTAATCTCTCGCTCTCGCTCTCTCTCGCTCTCTCTGTTTCTTTGTTTACACTGCCCCATTGTATTATTTTGCTACCATGGATTCCATCTATTGTCCTAATCCAGGGATAATATTGAGATAATAATGAGATAATATTATGTATTTATCCACTTTGACTCCATGTCAGTTGTCAACTGGGGAAACAATGGATTTTATATTATACTATTTCATGGTCAATAAAAAGCGCAAAAACATTAAATTCGCTGAATAAGTACTCGTAGGCAGAGGTGCGTGGGGTTCATTGGTAAATGATTATGGAGAAGCCAAATGGAGTTATGGTGCATGACAGTGGCTCGCCCATCTGCATAGTGATCCCGTGTTGGCAGAGAAATGTCGTCCGGATTTTCCAGCCTGCTTTCCCCCTTGTTAGAGGTGCCAGACGGAGAGTCTGGTTGGGAAAAGACGCGTAGTACTTCAGATGGGACAAAAAAATCGTCTTATTGGTGTGCATGGCGTATGCCCCTTTTCGGTTGGTGCAGATGAGGATCAGGTTAAATCTTATTCCATTTCAGAAATCGTTGTTGGGTGGTCGAATGGTTAACGCGTGTGCGTTAGATCATAAGGTCTGCCATTGAGTCAAGTAGCGTGGTTCCCATTCTCCGGTTGTACGTGACAAGGAGTAGGGTCGCCTGTCCCCTGGTTTTCTCCCCATTGCTACAGACCCCTGCGCTCAATCGAATTATTTTAATAATATTCAAACATGTTGTTAGTCCCACTCCCAAAATGACCTAGCTTGTGTCGCGTGGATGTTAAACAGCATTTCCCTCTCTTTCCACATTTGAGACAACATCATGGGAATTTTAATTATATAGTAACATGTGCAAATCGAGGTAGGAGAATTTTTCTCGGAAAGGTGCCTTTCCACCTACTGTTCTTCGATTTACAACTGCCAAGGGTTCTTTAAAATGCACGCCATTGAAATCTGATTTCCGATTCCCGATTCTTCACGCTATGTAGTTCAACCATTTTCTCTCTAATTCACAGACAAAAGGGACGTCAGTGACGCGAGTGAGTAGGGCGTTGGCGCGATAACCTACAGGTCTCATAGTCGATCCCTGTGTTGACCCAGAAAGACGTTGGCTCGCTAACCTACAGATCCCGTATTCGATGCCAGTGCTGACCCAGAAAGTTTACCGGGATTTACCGGCGTGGTTCCCCCTTGTCATCGGTGTAGGACGGAGGGTCTGGCAAGGGACAACGTATAGTCGTTCGGATGGGACGAAAAAGGAGTTCCTGTGTAAAAGAACACTTGACAGTTAGGATTGGATATAAGAGTAGCTTGTAGCGCCGCTGCCCGGGCAAAATGTCCCTCACGACACACTGTATGGTGTAGGTCCGTCTTCATAAGCCCAGTCGGTTCAGAACAGTAGGACGTTAAACCCCATTTCATTTCATTTCAAAACGGAGGTGAGTGCACCACCACCCTTGCTAGATCCGCGCTTTTGGTTAATTTATCTATCTGTATATTAATTTATCCACGTATTGAAGTAAATGTCGATATATTTTAATTGTATCATCGATCAAACATGAAGTCATTTTTTTTATAAAATCAATGAATGAATAATAATCCTTTTCATAATCAAAAATGTTGCGGAAATAAATTCCTATATCTTATTGATTTATTGATTGTTGAGTTTCGATTACTGCACAAACATCGCTAAGTGTAAATACATTTGTCATAATTCTTCCATGAGGAATTTGTGATCATAGCACGATTACTAACTTATTATGTACTAGCACACAATCTCGTAAAGATTCCTTGTCTATATCATTTACCAGCAAGGGCCTAAATAATTCACTCGACAAGATTACTTGCCTGCATCATTTACTCGTATACATCCACCGACAAGATTACTGGCCTGCATCATTTACTCGTATAAAACCACCGACAAGATTACTGGCCTGCGTCATTTACTTGTATACGTCATCGACAAGATTACTGGCCTGCATCATTTACTCGTATACAACCACCGACAAGATTACTGGCCTGCATCATTTACTCGTATACAACATCAACTGGCCTACATCATTTACTCGTATACAATTACCGACAAGATTACTGGCCTACATCATTTACTCGTATACAACATCAACTGGCCTACATCATTTACTCGTATACAATCACCGACAAGATTACTGGCCTACATCATTTACTCGTATACAACATCAACTGGCCTACATCATTTACTCGTATACAATCACCGACAAGATTACTGGCCTACATCATTTACTCGTGGTGTAAAATCTCGATTACTAGGATATACAACTTACACAATCTCAGCTTGAATACTGGCCTACATCATTTCATTCAATAAAACCTCGGGAAGTTTACTTACCTACGTCATTTACTCGTACAAAATCTAGATTACTAGCCTATACAATTTCAGCATCAATACTAACCTACAGCATTTCATTCAATCAAACCTCGGGAAGTTTACTTGCGTAAATCAATTTCTCAGTGCAAAATATCGAAACGATTACTAGCTAGCCATTATACAATAATAACCCATATAAAATATCAGCACGAACACTCTCCTTTATCATTCATTCGTACAGAATGATAGCAATAACATAGCATTTACTCGTACAAAAGATTACTAGAATACCGCATTTACTCCTAAAGAGTGGTAGAAAGATTACTAGAATATAGCATTTACTCGTACAAAATGACAGCGCATTCACTCGTACAAAATGGTACAAAGATTACTAGAATACAGCATTTACTCCTAAAAAAAACCGGTAGAAAGATTACTACAATAGAACAATTACTCATACAAAATGATAGAAAGATTACTAGATTATAGCATTTACCTGTATAACATGGTAGAAAGTTTACTAGACTAGAATTACTATAGAAACGCCAGAAAAACAACCCGGTTATAAAACTTAGTTTGGATCCATATTCTGCTTAATAAGCATTTTACAACAATGTTAATTATCTTTTACCACTTAGCACACTCTGGTAATCAATTCAATGTGTAACAGGTGTAAAAATCATAAAATACACCTGTTCACCTGAAAGTCAATTAACACCTGACTATATACCATTAGATATACAATAACAAGCTGCTTTCCCTTTAATCATTTAATAATAGTTTCATTCGTTTGGATATTATGGATCGTGTAAGCTGTTCTATGTTTAGCTGATTAGGCTGTATGGTGGCTAAATATGAAATAAAATGGGGTGTAACGCATGAGCGTAGAAGCCGGGGACAAACATTAGAGCATTAGACCATATATCATAGAAATATAATTATATAATTGTAAAATGAATCGCTCGAGGTTAAGTTTTGAATACTATAATACATATGTGCCTTTTAGGGCATCTTTAACGTGATGCCATCCAGTTCAGTTTATTGTCCCATCATAACGACTAGTCAATTTTACTCGCCCCCCCCCTCCCCTGGTCTTGGGACTATTGTTGAGGGGACATCTGCCTGTTAAATCTCGGCCAAGACTGGAATTAAACCTAGGGGCCCCGTGTCAGTAATCCAGCGTCATACGCACCGAGCCACCGTGGCTCCTTTGTTAAATATGAGAATAGCCCCAGACAATAATTACGTTTTGTGCATAAGCCACAATTCAGTCGATCTAATGCAGCTTTACTGATAAATAAAATAATATCCCACACCTATTGTTAAACTGACAATAACACTCTACTTTCATTTTAATAATTGACAAATCGTGTATTACTGGAGTATATAAAATAATCCCGTTTATGAATAGTTTTATTCTATATTGATTATCTACCTGGGGTCATGTCTCCGCTCTAACAAAAGGCCTTCATTAGTTAGTCAGTTGATAGCCTAGACAAATGGTTTAACAATGGCGGATTATTATGTTCGTGTTATTATTCATACATATTTGATAACAATGGACTTGATATAAGATATGTTATGATTATAACCAAGGACCAAGTTTCATATGATATACGTAGTAACTGAAAGGTGTGGAGTGGGGATACAGTAATTTATATTATCTAATCCCCACCCGCGTTGTCTCCACCCCCTTTCCCTCCAGGTGGTCCATCGGTGTGACCACAATTAGTCGTTGGGTTTGTTCTATACGTAGTCGATATATATATATATATAAGAATATGTCACAACAAGTGTACCAGTCCCTTTCTTCTGTCGGGAGGGGGCGAATTTGTTAACGCGTGCGCGTTGGGTCGTAAGGTCTGTCATTAAGTCAAGTGGTGTGACTTTCGACTATAGAAATAAAATTGAACCATATGTTAGTTCCGAAATGACCTAGCTTGTGTCGAGTGGACGTTGACCTCTCCCCACCCCTCTCTCTCTCGCTCTCTCCCTCTCTCTCCCTCCCTCTCTCTTTTACTAAGAAATGCGTATATATAATATATAATAAAACTATTGTATTCAGATAATTACAATACAATACAAGTACTCGATCGTTTCTCTAGAAATATCCACAACCTGTTGTGTTTCTTTATACAGATAAAAACAATACCTAATCTGACACAACACAAATACTCACATTACGTGGTGATAGGTCTACTTGTTTTACAACAATAATTACAACGTAGGTTCACGTAGAGATATTTACTTTTGAGAGAGAGAGAGATGGGGGGAGAGAGAGAGAGACAGGGAGAGACAGAGACAGACAGATTTAACGTCCACTCGACACAATCTAGGTCATTTCGGGACTAACATAATTCGCTTTCAATAATTTATCAGTGGGAGGAAACCGGAGGACCCCCAGAAAACCCACTAAAGTTAGACAGGCGAGATATCTAATGAAAAAAATAACCGATAAACTCTGTTCAATGATACTGCAGTACCCCAGACATATCGGTTTTAGACAGTGTGTTGTTTTCGGGTTGTTTGTTTACGAGCGGTTGTTTTGTTTTGTTTTTCGTTGTTGTTTCAAAATAAATAAAAATCAAATCAAATACTTACATAGATAGATAGATGTAGTTAGTGGGCTTTATCCTGTTTCAATGTCTAATAGTAATATCAATACAACAATCCACTGTCACCGATACTCCAAGGCAGGCAACAATGACTTAAGCTACCTTGTGTTTACGTGTTCAGTCTATATATACCAACTAACGGTGTAATCTATAAGTCTCTCTATGGTCGTCTCTATATATATTTAAATATTCATATCGAGATCGTGGTGGTGTTATAATTATAAACATGTAAGATCATGTTTAAAACAACAGACATAAACAATACTACATGAGCTAGATATGGGACAATAGGTTGCAAGTTAAGTGTTAAAAACGCGTTTGTTTCACATGAAGGCTCCGTTACAATGGCGTCACGTCAGGCCTTTGTGTTATGGCTTTAGAGTTTTTTGCGCTTCTTTCAGATTGTGCGCCGCCTTTTCAATCCATGGAATAAAATCATATGGTTTCATTGTTGGGTTTTAACGCTAGTGGCATGCAATTAACATGTGTTCTTACAATTCTACAGATAGATTAATTAACCAAAGGCGCGGATCTAGCAAGGGTGGTGGTGCATTCACCTCCGTTTTGAAATGAAATGAAATGGGGTTTAACGTCCTACTGTTCTGCTCCGACTGGGCTAATGAAGACGGGTATACGCCATACAGTGTGCGATGAGGGAAATTTTTCCCCGGGCAGCGGCACTACGGCCTACACTTATATCGAATTCCAACTGTCCAGGGATCTTTTACGTGCACGCCAATATGTACACGGGACCTCGGTTTTTCGTCCCATCCGAACGACTAGACAGTTGTCCTTGTCAAACCATCCGTCCTGCATCACTGACCAGGGGGAACCACGCCGGAAAATCTGGATGAACTTTCTTGTCCACTTAGGCACCAAAACTGATATAGGGAAAACTATCTAAACACTGAGGCTGGCCGAATGGTTTAACAGGTGCGTGCGTGTGAATGCACTTGGTCATAATCATATTCCGCACCCCCCCCCCTCCGTCTTCATTAGCCCAGTCGGGGCAGAACAGTAGGACGTTAAACCCCATTTCATTTTTAATAAATAAACTTTCTGTGGTTTCCTTAGCAACCCTATTCTTCTCTTTCTAATGGTATTCTGGCTAATGTCCGATAAATTTCCAAGTTTTCCTAATATTCGCCGTGTCTTAAGTTATTATATGACTAAATGTGTTTGGGGCAAAGTGGCGAATATACGTATTCGACGTTAAGTTTAACATATTTGGCAGATGCTAACTGTAGTTGGGGAAGTTCGGGAATTTCCGGAATCCAAAATGGCCGTTTTATTTAAATGAGAATTTGGAGGAATACTAATAACCCTAACCCTTTTTAGAAGACTGAACTTGGATACAATTGACCTTTTACCTCTTAAAAGGGTTGGAGTTGGTATTCCCCTAAATACTCATTTATATAAAGCGGTCATTGTGGACTCCAGAAATTCCCGAGTCTACGTTTCTAGTGGTTTACCCACAGTTCTGTGCAGAGCACGCCAAGAACTCGCCGTAACAGACCATTTCATTGGGTAATTCCTCACATCATCCAGAACACGTCAATGATAACTCTTCCAGGTCCTAATGTAGTAAAGACAAGTAAAACGAAATTTTTGAACTATAAAAAACGAAACGAAATAGGATCTGTGTTTTAATCAGATTACGAATAAACATAAAGCCAGAAATTACCGGGATTTAAATGTTTAGTTTGCCTTGATGGTGGATCTCTCCTACCCCCCTAAGACGCATACCACAACCGTTTCATCATAAAAAGTGGGGCCACAGCAAATTTGATCTCAGTGCCCTTTCGTACACTGCCAAGGAAACGTACTTTGTAACTAATAATAAAAGCATACATCAATATAAACAAACATTTCCCAATATTTACAGAAGGTAATTGCTCACGATTTCATTGACAATACGATTACAATATACTTTTATTTACTGTGGTACTTGGTCTGATGGTTTCATTATAAACAAACATTTCATGATATACCGGTACTATTTGGTTTTGTTTATTGGTTTCACAATTTGAAACAACGAATTATGTTTATTCAGCCTCTTGAGCAAATATTATCAATAAATATTTAAAAACTATCTTGACGACTTAACAAAATCAACCATATATGGCCATATCCACGCACGGTTTTGTTTATTTATCTGGTTACTATGACAACAGTAGAAATGACAGAACGGTATTACTCAACTGAACCAGTAACCATAACGACACATTCTTGATCAATCGGCGGGGAATTTATCGATTATACCTATCACTTCGTTAAAGAAATTTAAAAATATCATCGAAAACAAACTAACGATGTTCTAATGAATAATTGAATCGGTGGAATGACACCAAGCCCGAGGTTTCGGATCGTTGACTTCTATTACGTCATCATTGTTTGTTTATTTGACATACTTTCACACTAACACAGTGTAAAATAACATGGCCTTAAAGAGAGAGAGAGAGAGAGAGAGAGAGAGAGAGAGAGAGAGATGGGGTTTAATGTCCGCTCGACACAAACTTGTTCATTATTTCGGGACTAACATATGGTTCAATTTTAATTATTTTAATAATTAGCTTGCGTGTAGGGGTCTTTAGCAATGGAAGGAAACCGGAGGACCCGGAGAAAACCCACGAGGTTGGACAGGCGACCCTACTCCTTGTCACGTACAACTGGGGATTCGAAACCAAGCCAGTTGACTCAATGACCAACCCTATGATACAGCGCACACGTGCTAACCATTCGGCAATCCAACCCCCCAGGGCTAAAATAATTTCCCACTTGGATTTCAGAAGTACAAGCTGCTGGTAATATTGTCAGAAGATGCTATAACAACGAAGTAATGATTAACTAACACTTGGTTATGTTGGTGTCTGGATAGTCTATGGCTATAATACGGCATGATGGATCAATAACCATTGTTTCCAGTTTGGTCTGGTCTTCTTGACTACTTCCGGACTTCAAAATACTTCACTATTATATGCCGTGTTCATTCAGTTAAAGCCGCTCATCGGCGTTTGAGTCAATTCAATTCCCTGCAAACTACTATATGTTATGGAAGTTGAATCCCGAATCTGAATATCACTTAATAAATCGTTCAATTCCGTTCTGTATTTACAGCAATATGATGAATTGAAAATTTCGCTTTGCAGCGCCACCTATATCTTTTGGATAAGAGTCTTTCGTGGGTATCTTTAAATCCGATTGAATTTTCGTCGCATATTTGATATTTTAGTTTGTTTTTTTTTTTTAAATTAAAGATACATTAGTTAAGAGCTAAATCTGCCTATTGCAAGTCTTTCTGTAGGCTTCAGTGTTAAAGGATCAATTGGTGATCAAACCGAGAAACAATATATTGTGTGAAAAATGCAAATGGCGATCACGGGGGTTTAATTTCATATATCAAATTTTAGTCAGCTGAGTTATGACCAACTATAAATCAACAAATTGGTTTCTACATAACGTTATATAACATATCACCGAGTTATTAATATTATGGTCCTTGGCGTGATTCCATGGTTACGTGGGAAATCATATTAATAAATAAACCCAATATCGGTATATTACAATTAATATTACAGTCCTCGGCGTGATTTGGTTGCGTATGAAATTAAAACGAAATGAGTATAACACGAAACGAAATATTGATAATATACACAATAACTGTATACTCATTAATATATTATTATACCATTATCACATCTCTAGTGGTCACATTCCATTCTACTTCACTATACCCTACGTGCATCCATGGCATAATCGCGTATTCAAATTATCTGCTCTTGATCGTAGCTCGATTCTACGAACCAATCAAAAACAGTTTACAAAACAGTCTTGGCCTCATTTTGTCCATTCACAACAATATGGCGGCTTGTTCGCTCGATGAGAAAATTTGCAAGAAATTTAATATAAAAGAAGTGAAATGCACACAAAAAAGATGTCCTAAAACATCTTTTAAAAGGCTCAATACCACTCTTGTTGTAACTAAATAATATGTCCCAATCTTTATTCTCGTCAACAAATTGTACTTTTTTTACAATATTCCAATTAATTGATGATACAAATTTCATCTTAACACACCTAATTTAAAAAATTGGAAAAATTCAACTAAATGATTTGAAAAGCCTGACGTAAAGCTTTTCAAATGTTACATGGATTTAAAAATATTTTTGAACCCTCTGGACAAGTAAAATAGGATTTAATGGACAATTTACACAACAGGAAGGACACTAACACATAGTACTTAGAATAAGGCTATTTTTTTATTTCTGGAGCTGTCAAGCCAGCAAGAGTGTTATTGTCCCTTTAATGGAAAAGACATCTTTATGTCTGTTTTTAAGTATTCAACGATTTTTTCATTGGTCGATAAAAAATAACAAAAAAATCAACAATCTGATTAAAACACAGATCCTACTTCGTTTCGGTTCTTATAGTTCAAAATTTCGTTCTGCAATCGAAGGTATAGAGAAAAAAACGAAACGAAATATAGATCTGTAATTTAATTAGATTGAATAATCAATGGCAGATAAATTGAATACGTGCCCCCCCCCCCCTTTCCTCTCCCCTCCTTCCCCGGATCCCAGCTAGCGATTAGGGGTGTGGAACGGAATGAGGCCACCGGAGATACCGATGATGACTATTATCTACAGTCCAAAGTGTGACATGGTTTTAAAGGAGCATAAAACGAAAGTAAAATTTAACACGAAACGAAGTATTAACCAATACCTGTATACTGGTTAGGGAGTCACTGGTTATAGGGAGACACGGTTGAACGGGATTTTCCGACGTGGTTTCCGGTCAACACCGGGGATCACGGTGGCTAGGTGGGTAAGACGCTGGATAACTAGCCTGGAGGTCGGGTGTTCGATCCTTGCATTGGCCGAGAAAGTTCATCCATATTTTCCAGCGTGCTTCCCCCTTGTGAGTGGTGCAGGACGGAGAGCCTGACAAGGACAGCTGTCTAGTCGTTCGGATGGTACGAAAAACCGAGGTCCCGTGTTTACATTGATGTGCACGTAAAAGATCCCTTGGCAGCCATAGTGCCGCTGTCCGGGCAAAATTTACCTCATAGCACACTGTATGGCGTATGCCCGTCTTCATTAGCCACATCAGAGCAGAACAATTGGACGTTAAACCCCATTTCATTTCGTACACTGGTTAGGCCTC